AAGTACCGACTCAAATGAATTTAACGCGATTTAACTGAAAAATGCCGGACAGATGTGTCGCTGGTGGCTGTTCCAACATTCAAGACAAGAATGAGAACATATCACTGCATAAATTTCCAAGTAAAAATGATAGAAAGTGAAGGAAACAGTGGACGAGCTTCGTGTTAGCAAAGCGAGCTAAATGGCTACCGACAAAAAACTCCTGTTTGTGTTCAGAGCACTTTAAAAGCAGTGATTTTGATACGCAATTCCTAGAAATACCAGGTACGCCATTCAGTGGCAAAAGAATTCTAAAGCGAGACGCGGTTCCAACAATTCATGCATCAAATCAACAACTTTCACCACAACTACAATACGAGGGCGAAAGCTATTCGCGTGATCGTAGCCATCGGCAGGTAAATAGTCTATCGTTGTGTATACGTATATTGTGTTAAGTATAAGTTATAATTAAAGCCTCGTTTAATCTCTAGGTTGTCAGAGAGTTATTAAGGGATGACTCAGGAACAAAAATTGAAGAACAAGAGAATGGAGACGGTGACGTTCGTATGGTGGATATCGAGGAATTTGCCCCAATCGATAAAGATCTAGAAGTAAGTTTAATGATGCAAATCTTGATAATATTATAAGTCTCGATTGACAGCAATAATTTTACAGTACCCTGGATAAAAAATATTTCTATAGACATGCGAGAAGTCAACTCAAACAACAGAACTCCAGTGTCCTGGCTGCAAGAGTCTGAGCGACAAAGTCAAGGTACTCGAACGCCAGCTTCGGCACAGACTGGTAGATGAACTAAAGTATAAAAGCCTATTGAAGAAATACGAGGAAGGTTTGTGTTATATTAGCATTATTTGTGCACGAAGTTAGGRAAGTCATTTTTTGTATTTTTATACGACTTATATGCGACTGATTTTTTTTTAAATCAGCGCATTAAAGAAATAATCATTTCATTCAGAAGTTTCAAAAGTTTCAAAAAAGCAGCAAGAAGGACCGCAAGTTGAGGAGGAAGAACCACCACACCCAAAGCTTTCACCAACTGAGCATGAGGTGTTCCCTGATGACACTGAAACAGACTCTGAGGATGAAGGTGAAGAAGAAGACGATTTATGGGAAGAAGAACCACCACTTTCAAAACTGATATCTCCAGAGGAAAATGACACTGACACAGAGATTGAAGATGAGGGTGAAGATGAGCAGCCTAAGAAGAAGTATATGTATGTAATGTTCTCATTTACATGTAATGCAACAGTTTTTGGTAAACACACAATGTACATCTTTTGCTATAACTGATTATATTTTTAGCTCCATTGGTGAAACCGAMAATATCAGAAACCAGCCAAAGTTTATTGTCTTCCTATCAGAGTTGCTAAAGCTGTTTAAAAGCTGTCCCTCGTGCAAATGTGATGATCCTTCAGTAGAGGCCTCGGTAACCGGTACAATGCTGGAGATTTCAACACATTGCTTCTACCCTAAGTGCCAATCACCMAAATATACATGGCGGAGTCAACCTAACATTGCAGGTTTGTGATATTSTACTAWTTACATTTGAGTGAAATTTAAATKCATATAATGTTGTAAGAGAATGTTATTGTTGTAGAGAATTAGTGATAACTATGATTAATATATTATATTTTAATATTGTTACTTAWAGGTACTAAAATGTCAGCAGGAAATTTCCTCCTTTCCTTTTCTATTCTTACCTCTGGTGCTTYACCTTCAAAAGTGCTACAAGTTCTTAAGACCATGGGAGTTCAATGCATGAGTATACAAACTTATTTTCAACATCAAGCTGTAAGTAAAGTAAGATCTACTGAAGTGACATTGACTTCCACAAAAAATGTGCTTGGTGTTATRTTAAAGTGCACATCATGTCTCAAAATTGAACATTTTGACCTTATTCTATAAAGCAGGTGCTTTCAAGTTTCAATGTTTGAAGTGCTTTATCTGCCATTTCATTAAATTCCAGAATAAACTCTTCCCTGCTATCCACATATTCTGGAAGAAGTACCAAAAAGAAATGCAGGAAAAATTGAAAAGAAGTTCAGAGGCCTTAGTGATAGCTGGTGACGGGCGTCACGACAGCATGGGCCATAGCGCCAAGTATTGTGCCTATACCATTTTCTGTTGCACACTGTCTCTTATCATTGACTTTTCTCTAGTACAGGTATAAAGTGAAATAAAATAAAGAAT